AGAAGGAAAATAGAGGTAGGATCTCGCCATGTTGCCCAGGCTGCTCTCAAACTCCTGGGCTCAAGTGATCCACCCGCCTCAGCCTCCTAAAGCACTGGGATTAGATTACAGGAGTGAGCCACAGCACCTGGACTATTTTAAGTAATTTTAGATTTATAGAAAAGGGGTTATAGACAGTACAGAGTCCCCTATACTCTTCACCCAGCTTCCTTTTACGTAACTGTGCACATTTATCAAAACTAAGCGATTAACACTCGTACGATATTAATAACTAGACTAGCAGCTGGCTTTGAATTTTCTCCCGTTTTTTCACTACTGTAATGTCTGTTTTCTGGTCCAAGAGTCAGTCCAGGTTCCCACATTCTGCTTAGTCCTCGCATCTTGTTAGTCTTCAATCTGTGACCCTTTCTTAGCCTCTCCTTGTTTTTCATGACCCTGACATTTTGGAAGAGTGCCGGTCAGGGGTTTTGTGAAATGATTCTTGGTTGGGCTTGGCAGGTGTTTTCTCCTTATGGGACTGTGATGGTGGGTTTGGAAGATCACAGAGAGGTGAGGGAGGTACCTTCTCATCGTGTCACCTGAGGGGTGTGTGATACCCAAGTGCTGGGCAACATTCGCCTAGATCGCTGGCTGGAGGTGGTGTCTGCTATGCATCTCCCCCGTCTCTTTGCAGTATTCCCTCTTGTGCTCTGTTTTTTTTTTTTTTTAGACGGAGTCTCGCTCTGTCTCCAGGCTGGAGTGCGATGGTGCAATCTTGGCTCACCACAACCTCTGACTTCCTGGGTTCAAGTGATTCTCCTGCCTCAGCCTCCCGAGTAGCTGGGACTACAGGCGTGTGCCGCCACACCCAACTAATTTTTGTATTTTTAGTAGAGACGGAATTTCACCATGTTGGCCAGGATGGTCTCCATCTCTTGACCTCATGATCCTCCCACCTTGGCCTCCCAAAGTTCTGGGATTATAGGCGTGAGACACTGCGTTCAACCTGCGCTCTGTTCTTTAGAAGAGAGTCACTAAGTCCTACCCACCTTCAAGGGCAGGGGAGTTAAGCCCCACCTCCTGGAGGGGGGAATATTTGCGGACATATGTTAAAGCCACCACCAAGGTTTGAAGGCAGATTCTTTGAGGCTGTGCAAATTTCCTGTTTCTCCTTAAAGTTCCACCTGCTGGCCGGGCGCGGTGGCTCAAGCCTGTAATCCCAGCACTTTGGGAGGCCGAGG